CTTGTGTGTGTTTATGTTTATGCTTAATTATTTCATTTTGATTATCATTATATTCTTAAAAGAATCATGAATAGTGGAAGGGTATAGTAATTAATTTTCATTAAAAACTTTCCATTTGTAAATACTTATCTATAAACAACTATAAAATTTCTAAAATACACTTTTACTTATTTTATTTAATTTTTTTTATATTTATTAAATTTTATGTAATTTTGTTTAATTGTATTTAAATGATTTAATTGATTTGATAAGTTGATTTAATTTTATATAATTTAGTTTAATTTTATTCAATTTTAAAATTTTATTTAATTTTAATTAATTTTATTTAATTTTATTTAATTTTATTGAATTTTAATGAATTTTATTAATTTATATTTAATTTTCTTTAATTTAATTTAATTTTACTTAATTTTATTTAATTTTACTAAATTTTATTTAGTTTGAATTAATTTTATTTGATTTTATTGAATTTTATTTAATTTTATTTTATTATATTTAATTTTATTTAATTATATTTAATTTTATTTTATTTTATTTAATTTTTTTTTAATTTTATTTAATTGTATTTAATTTTATTTAATTTTATTTAATTTTAATTTTATTTAATATTATTTAATTTTATTTAATTTTATATAATTTTATTTAATTGATATTATTTTATTTCTTACAAATATTTTAAAATAAAAATTAGCCAAGTTGTTCTCCAGTTGCTATAAAAAAATATATTATGTAAGTGTATTTATTATGTACACTCCGTTCACTGTATCTTTGCACATCATAGTTGTACGAATTAAATCAAAGCGTTTAAACCAAACGTAAGTCTTTTCTAGATTCATGAAATAATTAGGTAATATTTAATATCCCGTTAAACGTATTTATAGTGATTATTTTTGTTTATTTATTGTAATGGATGTTAAAAACTCATTATAGAATTGTTTTGATTATTGGAACAAATGCTCTATTTAAAATACTGTAGTCGCGAAAGATGGACCCAAGATCAAACAGCTTAAATTCTCATATTTATTTATTTATTTATACACCAAAGCATCCAACAACCGAAGCCAGTTACTGGATGAAAAAAAGTTTTCATTCAAAATACAATATTAAACACAATTTACATCGTATACATATTATGACATTCAATTTTTAAGCTTAAGCATAAGAAAATGCCCTAAAAGATAAACAACTCTTGTGTATGCTTTTCGAACTAAGTTACTAACACAAAAAAAATTAATTAAACTTTACTAAACAAAACAATACATATAATGGAAAAAGAAAAATTTCGAAAATACATTAATTTGTAGAAAACTTAAAGGGTGTTACAAATTAGTGCTCAATCTGTTAGGTTAAAATAATACGACTTTTTTTGTGTCGCATACCTAGAGACTTGGTATTTATTTTTTATACTAGTTGGTTTTTATCAACTTTTTTACTTGTGTATCGAACTTCTCTGTAGTTTCCAAAATAAAGTGTGGGAAGTTATATATAAAAGGTTTCATTGTTTTAGCCTAAAGAATGGATCAATTTCATATGTTACAACCCAAAAATATGACATAAATATGACTAAATTGCTAAATTATTAAAATTAATTGAAATTTTCAATTCATTTTCAGAATCTGAGCTATCTTCAGGATTTAACTATATTTTGCTCTCGGACATACCACTTTTGAATAATTTCATGAGTATGTCTTACACATTTTTCCCAAATTTCTCCATTACATTGATTAAGCGCCTCTTTTCCACATATTTATAACAGCACTATCAGAATAGCTCTCCCTATCAATATGCTTATTATAATATGACTTGCAATTTGCCCAAATTAATTCAATAGCGTTGAATTCGCAATGATAAGGAGGTAGGCTCAACACTTCATGACCATGCTCTCTTAGTAACTCATCAATAACATAAAATCTTTTTTACTCATTTTTGCAACTTGTAATAATTCAGGTTTTGTAAATTTTGGGTTAAATTGGATGTTATTTGTTGTCAGCCAGGTAACAATTTCTTCTTTCTTTGAAGCAGTGGTAGATTGCTTTTCTAAAAGAACACTATGATATGGAGCATTATCCATTACAATCAACGATGGTTCTTCTAAATTGGGAATTACTTGTATCCTTATCCACTTAGTAAAAATGTCATTAATTTCTCCGTGGTTATCAATATGTTTAGACTTAGAACAAAACAATAAACTTGCTTCAGAAACAAATCCTGTAAAAGAACCAGCGTGAACAATTATGAAACGTTTACCATCAAAACCTTCTGGTTTACGTACACTTTTCCTACTAGTGTCTTGCCAGGAAGTTGTTTTATTTCCTTTTGAATAAATCCATGTTTCATCCAAAAAAACATGTTTTCTTGGATGCACACTTTACAGATTTTCAAAGTACTTACGAAAGAATTTTGCTCTTAAAGCAGCAATATTGGTTCGTTCCAATAATGATCTTCGATTGTCATCCTTTTTATATTTAAATCCTATATCTCTCAGTACAATGCTCAATGATGTTTTGCCTATAGTAACAACTTCTTTATCCTCTAACTTACATTTCAAACTTTGTAGACTAACATGCTTTTCTAAAAAAAAACTAGAAATAATAGTAAAACTTTATTTTAGAAGTGTTAATTTTGATGTAAAACATCTATTGGCTGGGGTATTAACAAGATCGTTTTTATTTTGTACAATATCAACCTATACTTACTTTGTAGGTACATATTGTACACAGTGTTTCGTATTGCCATTTTAGTTCCTTCATGCAGATCAGTTGTCTTGCTTTTACGATGACGTCTACTTTTTCTTGGACTTGAAAGGACAGGATTGCTTTCTTTTGGTTTTTTAATTGTACATACTGTACGCCGTGATATTTTCAAGGCAGCAGCTACCCTCTTAAATTAAAAATAATTTCATGATAGGTAAACTATTAAACAACATACAATTTATTACAATACTTCTTAAACACAAGCCAAAGGTACCAATAAGGGTCCACCGTTCCTTTTTTCTAACTCAAAATATTCATACAAATTCATCACGAGTTGCTGGGATTGAGAATTTAATGTATTTCCAGGCATATTCTAAAAATAAAATTCTTGAAAAAATATTCTGTTTGATATTTATGACAACAAATAATGTTCTATATTGATCCGTTAGACAGAGTTTTAGCCAGATTCAAAAATGATACGTCAAATTAAAGGTAAGAAAATTTAACTGCAAAATTTATACTTACATCAAGGAATCCAACACTAAGTGAATAGTTAGTCGTTATAACAACTCTTTTTGAGAAAATTTATAAACTCAAGGCACGAAAATGTAATGGAAAATTAAACAATATGAATATAATTTTTGTAAACACCATAACGGTGTGAAATTGACAATAAGCAGGTTCAATGATGAGAAATTATCACAGAGTGTTCTTATATTACTGTCTTTGCTGATGTATTATTAAATGTTGGACAAGCGGCTTGATTTCAACATTTTATATTCTGTGAGTAGAAATGAGACAAAATTTAAAAATAGTTCGTGAATAATTTCATACATGTGCAAAGATACAGCGAACGAACTGTATGTAAATTATGTAAATTACGGTATACCGCAAGGTTACTATACCCTTCTCGATTTTTCTAGTCACACTAAATAGGATTTCGCGTCCGTCCAAAACATCATACCAAGCGATAGGAAGTATTCACTTCAAAAGTGGTTTAAAAAATACGTTGACACAACACCAATGAACAAATCATTTGTTAATTCATGTGCCTATAAAAGGATGTTACTCCAGCCTTTGGACGTTCGACCAATACTATTAGTACCAGAGTTTAGTGATTTGTCTTTTGTGATTTGTCTCGACAAGTTCGTACACCCCCATTTTACGTATCTTATTATCCCTTTCTTCTTTATGTTTAATATCGACTCAAGAATTCCTTGTGCATTATATTTTTTCTAATATCTTCAATTCTTATTTAATTTCTCAGCGCATATCCTGTAATTGTTCCCAGTTTTTTACCTCGTTTTACAATAGCCTCCGTATTTTTGCCTTGTGTGGTTTAATGTTTCTGATGCATATGTTGACATTGGTCTTATGCTGGCTTTATGTATTCTTTGATGAATTTACGTCTCTACTTTAGGGGCCTTCTAAGACTATACTGATTATGCGCAATTCGAAGACTACCCTGTTTGATATTTAAATTAATAATTAAAACAATTTTTCTAAAGAGAGTTTGACGATGTGTAGGATCAGATTTGGTTAGTTCATTAGACCAAATAGACGAGGCTTAGAAAATGTTTTAATTTAGCTCTAGCCGTCCATCTTTTTTTGAAAATAATAAAAAATACCTCTTTCACACCGGATGCAATTAAACCATTTATGGAAACTGCGCAATAATTGATCACCTGAAAGGAAATAAACTTAATTAAAATAATTATCGTCCAATCAGCCTGGTTACTGTTGGCGGCAAGGTCATGAAATCGATTATTTCGGAAGCTATGTCTGAGTTTCTTTTTTAAGAAAATTTCATCCGTCACCAACAGCATGGCTTTATCAAAGTTTGTTCAACCATCACAAACTTACTTCATTGTGTAAATGATTAATCATCATCTTTAAACAATCGGTATCCTGTCGATGTAGTCTACTTAGAGTTCTCCAAAGCTTTCGACCGTTTTCCAAAACGTCGATTACTACCTAAATTGGATCACTATGGTATTCGCAGAAAGTTAAACATTTGGATTCAAGATTTTTTATCCGACAGATACTTCAGGGTTCGTGTTGGTGGGGTACTTCAGGGTCGAGAAGCTCGCTCCTCTGCCCTCACTTGTTGTATAATAATAATAATAATAAAATAATAATTATTAGACTTATTTTATGAGAATATTATTGGATGTTTCGGAAAAATTGGTATTGGTAGCTTTTTATATTATATTAATTTACTTTGATAAATACGATCTGTTGTGTGATTTATTTTTATTTATTTGCACATCTTGTAAATAATATAAAACTAAAATCTAATTTTTTTAGAGTATAAATGTCACTATCGACTGAAAGACATGAAGGATGAGTGTAACCTCGAAAAACAATTACGAATTAAGTCCCGCAACTACTCCTGGATCTTCCATAGATGAAGAAAAATGCTTGGTGCCTTATCAAATAAGTCCTCAATTTAGAAAAAAATGGATTAGGTGGGAAAATACCCCTTTTGGTATTTTGGCCATTAGTTTTATTCAGGTACGTAATATTATAACAAAATTATATTTCAAGTAAACTATGCAACAAATCAATTAAATAACTGTTGCTGAATAATAGATCCCAAGAAAAGGAATATCTCAGAATAAACCAAGCTGTATAGAAAAAAACGTGCATTAACTAGTGAATTTTTGAAAACAGCACAGCCTTATAAAGGGCAATGCCTGGTATAACCATCCGAAGCTTGAGTTAAAACTCGTAACACTCCATTACTAACCATGATGTGACATGTGGTATATTCAAGGTTGGTAGCGCTTGTCTGCTATCTGTTCAGATCATTATAGTTTTCCCTGCTATACCTTTTTGGGTTATCTCTTTTGCGGCTATGGAGATACCAGTCAATTCTGTCTGAACTGCGCTGGAATTTTTGCCCACACTTCTCTTCATTCTTAGGTTCAGTGATCTGGACTATATCCCGCATCCCGCGCTTTCTTCCATTTTGGAGTCATCGGTGTATATGCAATAGGCATTTGCCACGTTGGTCTCCCTATATTGTCTTGTTTTAATTTTGTAGGGTTTGTTTTAAAGACAAACTTTGGTTCAATTGAGTCGCAGCCTGCATGTAGCAGTGGTAGCGTATCCAGCTCTCCTTGCCAGAAACGAGTTCTCAATTGTCCCATTTCTATATCAAGGTTTGCACCAGCTGAGCGCAGTCGCTTCATTGTCACTAGCGCCACCTCTAGGCTTTATATTATATCTCTTTTAATTACAAATCGAATGAGGCTTCCTATGATCAGATCGGTCAATTTCTTTTCAACAAATGTTTGTTTATAAAAATTCTTAAATTTTGCACTGCTAGAACTTTTTTTTAAAAATAGAGATCTACTAATTCTAAACGGATTCTCTTTTTGGTCGATTATATTTTTCGCCAACAGAAAATGCTGCGGATAAGCATTGTTTGAGAGTTTTTAATCAAATACAAGTTTAGCTCAAAAATCATCTTGATACCTTTCTCTACGCGTAGAATTCTTTTATAGACCCACATTTCAAAGGCTTCGATCATATTTCTATCAATTTTTATGAGTGATGTTTCAGCTGCGTATGTAGCAATGGGAAAAATAAGGGTCTTTACCAACCTGAGCTTAATATTCCTTGTTATTGTTTGGCCCTTTCATGTTTTAATCAGTTTAGCTGTTGCGGATCCGGTCATTGCTAGTCTCCGCTCGATTTCTGAAGAGTAATCGCCATATAAAGAGTACTTCCAAAGCATAATGTGAAAATATATGTGGGTGAATCCAAATACTCGTTCATTTAGAATTTTTAACATTCGTCCGAACTAAAATTTCGTATAGATATATGTGACAAGGTTTATCGTTATTTATATCCAGTGGATTTAACGATTAATCAGTTAACAAAAATATTTAATAATACTTTGGAAGCACCCTGTATTTTTAGTTTTCATACAAGTTATGTAATAATTGTGAGTAGGTAAAATATGATATCATTGCTTTTTAATTTGTGTAATTTCTATCAAGGACTCAAAACCGTAGTTAAATGATTATGATTCTGAATATTATTTGAACACTATAACCTTTATTTAAAAAGTTTTAAAAAATGCTAATCTATATGATTATTTTGCACTAAGTAAACTATGCTTATCCGTGTTATATTTATTATATGAAACCATCTAACATTTATCCCTCGCAGTATTTCATCTTTCCCCCCTTATTTTGAGATGCATGCTATCAATCGTTATGACGTCTGGTAGATTGTATATCTTCCAATTACTATCTGACAGACCCTTAGTGCCTGCACATACTTTTTGTGTTAAAGCCAATGTTTTAGACGGTTTCCTGTTTGGCCTCTTTTATTGATTTACGACATTTTGATATTAAGGAGTATATGAAATAGATTTCCAATATTTAGTGATATAATATTTTGTACTATAAATTTATTTTATATGAGGATTTTATTGTAATTTTATTAATACTAATATTAATGTATACTAGATTGCATCGGGATTCTAGAATGCATGATGTTCTATTAAAACCCTTTTGTTTTGTTACACCAACAATATTCTATGATGAATATTTTTGGCGTATATTCTATGATATTATGAATGAATATGAAAAATGCAAAATAAAACGTTTTAAAATGCACAAAACAGAACACAACAAATAAGCTATAGTATCATGTTCGTCACATAGTAACAAACAGACTTCGGTGTAAATAGTCATCATCGTTTCTTCACAGATGATGACAAATAAAAACTGATTGATTTTTTCTAATATATTCTTTATCTCCTCCCCTTTCATTTGCTATGTCTTACGTTAGGATTCAATCAGTTGTTTATTAGTACTAAGCCAGAGGCCTTCTGTAAGTCAATAAATTAAAATTTGTCTTAAAGCAAATCTATTTTTATCCACAGCGTCCTGTGTCATCTCATATGCCTCATATCTCATATGTCGCTATATGTTTATTAATAACAAAGATGCTGTGTAGTGCCTTTTGGTCGTCACCTTGTTTGTTTTTTCTATCTCAATATATTTGTTATATTCTCACCTTTCATTTGTTATGTCACATGTTAGGATTCGATCATTTTATTCGTTCGTATTATATATAGGATTTGTTTATTTTGTACTCAGTCAGGCCTTCTTCGGATCAATAAAGCAAATTTACTTTGTAATGCCTTGTAATGCCGGCGCTGGGATTTTCGTTACGCACAGACAGACAGAATAAGCAGATTATATATATATATTATATATATATATATATATATATATATATATATTATATATATATATATATATAAATATATGTATATATATACATATATATATATATATATATATATATATATATATATTATATATATATATATATATATATATGAAAGTAAAAGATTGCATTTCATTTCAATCGGAACTCCACCATTGTTCTAGACGTGTTTCGAGTTATTCAACTCATCATCAGGAACACTTGTGGAAGTTCAACTGAAATGAAATCATCATGAAATCAAATGGAGTATTTGGTCATTATAACCAAAATAATAGCTAGGTACGCTAGCAGCGATATCTATACGAAGTAACAAGAAGTCGAGAGACCTCTCTCTGATGTATGTTGGAAATATCGGGTATGTGATCTATATTAAATAAAAATCTTTGTTTTTTCTAAATCTCAATATTTCACCATTTATGAAATAGCTTCATCGGGAGTAACTGGAAAAAACAAACATTTCAAAAAACTAACGTACACTTAGATTTACAATACTTACAGAAATTAAAAGATTTCACACATAAATAAAATTGACATTAAAATAACATTATTGCTGTTGTATATGTACATCCAATAAAATGCACGTTAAAATATAAATATCTTTGAGCACGTTCGTTAACAATAAATCAGATGACAACAAGTAAAAGTTATTTTAAAATGCAAAAAATAACAATGTCAGAAAACATTAGAGGAATACTATTTCTTTAATTAATCATTAAGGCTAGTCAGTATGATTAATCATTAAGGTGAGTGTAGTGTTAAATTTTGTTCAATATATTGCAATATATGTTGCTTAATAGACCTATATCTGTTTATAATATTATATTACTTTTGTAATTTTTAGTCTGTGCCAAAATACGAGTCTGTTAGACTACAATATATATATATTATATATATATATATTATATATATATTATATATATATATATATATATATGTATATATATATATATATATATGTATGTATATATATATGTATATATATATATATATATATATATATTTATATATATATATATATATAAATATATATATATATATATTATATATATATATATATATATATTTGATACTGTCGTGTGATATCTCGTATGACGCTACACGTTTATTAATAAAGGACATAAGGTGTTGTGATCTTTTCCTAGTCACCTTGTTTATTTTGTTATCTTAATATAATCTTAATTTTAAGATAAAAACGATATAAAAGTTCCAATCAGACACAATAAGAACATAGGTATGATGTAATGGCACTGGGGTTTTCATTGCGGACAGACAGAAAGACAGACAAATAAGCAAATTACGTGTAGGTATTGATACTGTCATGTGATACGTCATATGTCGCTATACGTTTAGTAACGAAGATAAGATATAGGCCCTTTTGGTAGTCGCTTTGTTCGTTTTTTCTATCGTAATATAATCTCTATCCCCTCTCATTTCATTTAACGTATCTTCTTCTTCTTCTTCTTCAAGTGCCCTGTCCGTTGCGAACGTTGGCTATTAACATGGCAATTTTGATCTTGTTTGCGGCGCTTCTGAATAGTTCGACCGATGTGAGCCCGAACCACTTCCGCAGATTTTGGAGCCACGAGTGTCTTCTCCTGCCTGGCCCTCGCTTACTGTCTATTTTTCCCTGGACAATCAATTGTAGCAGACGGTACTTATCGTGTCTCAATATGTGGCCTGGATATTCAAGCTTTCTTTGTTTAATTGTATTCACGATTTCTTTCTCCTTTCCGATTCTTTGGAGTATCTCTCTGTTGGTGACATGTTCGGTCCAGGATATACGAAGAATGCGTCGGTACACCCACCTTTCGAATGCTTCTAGTTTTATCGTTAGCGTCTCCGTCAGCGTCCAGGCCTCTACGCCATACAGCAAGATCGGAAAAATGTAGCATTTAACTATACGTAGTTTTAGGGGAAGAGACAAATCCTTGCTTATGAGGAGCTTTTTCATATTGCTAAATGCTGCTCTAGCTCGTTCTATTCTCGCCTTAATTTCTATGGTCTGTTCCCATTTTGCATTTACGTTGGTGCCAAGGTACACATAAGATTCTGCATGGTCAATTAGTATGTTACTTATCCGTAATTGTCGAGCAGGTTGTTGCTTTTTGTTATCAGCATCCACAGCAAGCATTTAACGTATCACACGCTCTAATCCTACCAATAACAACGAAGATATGATGTAATGCCTGCGCTGGGGTTTTCATTACGGACAACCAGACAGAATAAGCAAATATATATATATATATATATATATATATTATATA